CATAATGTATCCATAAACAAGAAAAGTATACAAATGACTTAACCCTTCATAATAATAACATAACAATTTTAAATGTACGTGTTTTTCCTTTTGCGTAACTAATGAGTGAAATAATTGTATACTAAATTATTATTTTTTAGTTCTACAAACAAAAGCGGTACCGGTAATGAAAATTGACCGTTTTTATGTTTTAAGGGTAATATGTGAAAAATTAAAAAAAAAAAATTAAGGGGTAATATGTGAAAAAACTCGTGTAATATCATTCCTGTTACGCACCAGTACACATCATGTGTCGTGTGATCTTGCTGTTACGCGAACTCATGCAACTTTATCCAGCCTATGACATAAAAGTTGGACCACACAAGTTATAGTGTTGTGGACACACGAATATAAACATTTTAACGAATAGTTTTTGACGTTTGGGACTTTTTAATCAAGTAAAATATCTACAAATAAACAATTACCTTATCTAAAAATAAACAATTACCTTAGCACTTATTGAATAGTACCACTGGGTTGAAAGTAGTTTGCCCCAAAGATGGATGGATAGCTGCTACACGTCGGAAACGTCCGCCCTCTACTAACATTGAATATATGAATATATAGTCTTGAGTGTAGGACAGTCTGCCAAACAGTGGTTCTTGAGAAACCAACCCTCCACAACAAACGGTAGGGCACATGTATAGCTCTGAGTCTGTTCTCCCCGGAAATTCCCTATAGGTTATTTTAAAAGATGTTGTATGGGATTGGAAGTAGAGAAGGGGTTATAAAAGGTGTGCGACATAGCAAGCTTCAAAGCAAAGATAAACCCAACAAATAGTTAATATTAAATCATTTTATTTTAATCAATCATAAATCTATGTTATTTGGCAAAATAACCTGACGAATATTTATTATTAAAAACCTGTACATTTGATGTCCTCGACTTTGGCCCTGACTATTTTACTCTAGTTCACTTGTGTTTTTATAAAAAATTAAGTTCCATAACTGTTTTTATGTTATTTTTAAAGGCATATTTCTCTCTTCTATGCCAGCGTGTTGTTGTGAAGCATGGTTAAAACGTTGTACTTCTCCAAGTACAATTAGTTTATTAACATAAGTTTTTTACTTAGAAAATCACTATCAAATATCGTATTGAAATAAGCATAAAACCTAACTTAATTTGTTTAAGGTATTTGCATATTTTTGAATCTTGAAATAAAACGAGGCTTATTTATGGCGGATATTCACAATCCATTGTCACCTCCTGAGTCGTAAATGCTTAAGATTATAGTAGTTTTCTAGTAATAGTATTTTTTATTTCGTAGAAGGCTCCAATGTTATTGCCCCTGCTTCCTGCATCTACGACCTTGTCTCCCACCCCACGAATAATTCTGGGCGATTCCTGGGTTTATTGGGTAAAACGCAAGCTGATGTGATAGGTACCTGCTCCCTAGAAAACCTACCCTCCGCAACATACAATAGGAAGCAGCGTTGGCAGAGTGTCGTTTCCCACTACACCGGACACCGGGTACGATACGAGCGGCGAGCGGCATGAGCGGCATTTTTCCAAGGTGGCAAGCGTTAGGCCGGTTTCACACGAGCCACAAAACGCCCGACAATCGCGAAACGCTGCTTCTGACAGTTGTGGCGCGCTTGTGGCGCGAGAATCGCTGGCTGACGCAAAAAAGGATAGCCCCATTCACTTAACATAGGAACGCGGCGTGCCTTTCACACGAAGTGGCGTCTTTTCGCGTTTGGCGCTAGAACGCGCTGCAATCGCATGCAGTGGCTCTGTTCTCGACAATTTTGGCGTTTGTAGCTGGTTATTGCCACTCAGACAGTCAAAACAACCAGTCACCCTGTATTGTTTCGAATTTTTATTTCACATTAAGTTATATCTGACTTTGACACAGACTGTTTTATCGTAAAAGTAGGGTGTAGGCCAGTGTTGTGGGTACAAGAATGTAAAGATTACTCAAATAATTACTCTATGACGTCGTACCGCACGAAGAAGCATTATAAAAAATAAATCTTCTTCATCGTCCATTGTAGCACTGAACTGCACTCGTAGTTTTTCCAAGCGGACTGGTGTTTTGGTTTATTTCAGGGAGGTGCGGTATGAAATGGCGATAAACTGATGGAAATCGCGGAATCATGCTTTTGCCGTCTGAAAGGTCCCACGCGATTGAGCGCTGCAAGTGGCGCGTTTCTGCCAACGATTGTGGCACGTTTGTGGCTCGTGTGAAACCGGCCTTACGTCTGAGCGGCGAGCTGTGGTAAGCGACGCCGCTCAGCGCTACTCATGGTTCCAAGACCAAACCGATTTTCGCAAAAACACCGCTCGCCGCTCAGGGTAGTCATGTATCAGTTCAGCCAAAAATGTCAGAGGAACAGCAGCAAACATGCGAGCCTCCAGCCAAACTCAAGAAGACAGAGGTGGAGTTGAGTGATTCTCAATTATAAGTGTTAATAAGTGAGTAGCAGTTCAGAATGTTTGTGGAATGACCAGCACTAGTTTTACAAACACAAGTCACCAGAAAACTATGGGACGAAGTGGGAGTTAAGTTTGTCTTAAAAAAGAGAATCGTCAGATAACAACAATAGTTGAAATACGTCTTACGGGCCATCACAGATTGCCATCTTCGACTAAACTGTCTCCTACAACGAGGGAAATTCGATGAGCGTTAAATGCGCCGCTTGTATCGTAGCCACCACCGCCGCCGTGCCGCTCAGGTTTCCGTTCGCCGCTTGCATCGTGCACGATGCCCTCTTTCAACGACGCGGTTATCACCCAAAGACCTAGATTTTACAATCTCTGTGACCGTGAAAGCCTATCATCTAAATTAACTTACCACTTGTTTATCGAAATATTAATTATGTAGCTCTAAAATCACTGAAAATCAGCATAATAAATTCGGTCATTTAGTAATTGTAATAAATAATATTAATATGTATGTATAAGTATAAGATAGTTAAATAAATTAGTTTAGAGTGTATTAGATACGGTATGAAATATTTAATGGATCGACTACCATTCCCATGCTTCAAAACTTAACTATCAATAAACCATATACGTGTTGGGTAGGGTTTTATTGTGATCATGTTTCCAGCACTTGACTCGATGCGGAGTCGTTTAAAAAGCTTCCATATACTATACAGTATAACACAATACACTTCGAGGCTGCACTTTTCTGCAGCTTATAGGTGCGCCGTCGTTGGCGTCACTTGGTATAAATATGCTCTCATTTATAAAGCCCAATGCATATACGCGCCGCAGCCCGCAGAGTATACGAGGAAGACGTATCCCTTTGTCACATACAGCGGGCAAACATGCACATTTGGATTTTCATTTTACATTGGAGTCGTTTCTGCTTGCAAATAGTAAGGAGAAATAACTGCTCCCGCCACCGCCAGCATCGACATCGTTTGCGAACAGACGTCTACATTTTGGTCGTCAACCCTTATGGTTGTGTTGTAGTCACGGGGGGCAGCTACGGGTCGCAGGAATTATATCCCCCTGGAATTTTACCGTACCCCCCTGAGCAGAGCTGACGGTAGTCTATAGTGATCTGAGTGCTCTCAAGTTTTGTTTGCGGTCAGAATTTTACCCTCTCGGATACTGGAGTTTAATAAAAATAAACAGAGCGTGATGGATTAGATTAGCAATAAAAGCCGGAATTTTACCCCCTGTTCATATACCTAGGGTTTAGGCAACTGAAGATGTACGGCTTTAAGGATTTCCCCCCGGATTTTTTCGTCCAGGGTCTTTTCCCCGGAACTTTACCCCCTGGCCAGATATAGAAATTAGCTATTATAATTATTTTTTATAATGATAATATTTTGGAGAGAAACACGTTTAGGTAGTTAATAGTGGTAAATAATAGTTAGCTGATTATACGTCTTTCTACAACAGACCATTTATGTACAAGTAATATTATTCTCACCAAATTCTATATATAGATAGGGGTAAAAATTCAGGGGAAATTCGGGCAACATTTGGAGCCAAACTCGCGAAGGGGGTAAAAGTCCGGGGGTGAAATTCCGGCCCGTAAACTCTAGGTTTTATAATTTAAATCGTTATGAATAAATTCGCTACCGTGAAAAGATACTTTTAATTCTTCCTTTAATTCAGTCAAATCATGTTGGGCAACGCAAAAGTTGGCGCTCGGAACTTTACCCCCTAGTTTGTAACGTCCGTTTTGCTGAGGGGGTGAAATAGGGGGACTCGCGTTCGCGAGGGTTAGCGACACAAGGTCATCTCAAGTGGCGGGAGCAGCAGCAGACGACCATAGTCGAGACCATGTGTACTGGTGGTTTGTTGTCATAGCACACGCTCGCAAACATAACCTAACAAATTGGCGACAATAGAGGGCAAACGGAATTGAAAACTATTTCTAATAAACAGGATTGCAAATCATTGAGTACCTATTATACTGGTGTTCCTATAACTTTATTTGTGTTGTTTGACATATATTTTAACGATGGGGAATCCTCGTTCTGAAAATACCTTTACGGTGAGCATGAGCATTGTGGTAACAGGGTACCGGTAAACTCAAAGAAAAAAAGCAATGAGTTGTGGTTATTACCAGCTCCATTATTTGATCAGTGTCAGTGTCAATATAATATTGTGCTTCGGTATAATATATATGGATTTGAGCGAAAACTGTAGTGTTTTTGTGCCTGGGGACATCAAAAAGAAAAAAGTTATCAGTCCCAGTTACCATGTCATTTCGCCACTGACAGAATTTGTGGCAAAAGAAGAGTTGAGAAGACTTGACTTGTTCTTTTTGTGTGTAGGCCATAGTATAAAGATTTTCGGAATTCTTTTGCCAGAGTGAACTTCACCCCATTTCGGTATCGGTTACCCTAAAAAATCCTTAAAATAGCCTACTTAATAATGTAGTAAATAAATAGTAGGTAGTAAATCTGCGATTGATTGCATTGAATTTTTTCCTCAGCAACCATTAGAATAAACAAGGAAAGCACATTTCTTATCACATAATTTGTTCTTTTTACAGAGAAAAAGAAGTGCATTGAGGAGATGGGCAATCGACGAAGAACTGAAAAGGCTAGCTGAGGAGAGACTGATGATTAGAAGGGCTTTGGTCTTGGTCCGAGAAAGCATTGCAAGAAGAGAGGCAGAACTTTTGCTAATTCGAAGACAATTAAATGCACTGAAGGGGGTGTATTCGAATGAGAGTCTGCCAGGAAAATGTGACCAAAATGGGACGGCGGGGGCCTCAAGCTGTGTGCCTCCTGAGAACACTGCTCATCCTTGCACTTAGAGGGCCCCGCTCCAATAGGAAACAGACTGAGGTAGGAAGTATCTTTGACTATTGCTAGCACTAGACATTCTATCCCCAGACGTCAGTTTTTGAATCAAAATTAGTTTAGAAGAGAAGTAATTTACTTTAGTTTATTTAGAGAAGTAAATTACTTATTTATGACTTACCAAATAATCCATTCTTATTTTAACTATGTCAAACTAATAGGACAAACTGTACAGTAGCATTAGAAAGACAGCCTTTTCCATATAGTACCTACCGGTAATCTGAAATATAGGAATACAGTACTGGTACTTCGTTAGAAACACACAAAGTTGAATTTTGACAATGTAATATCATTACTATACTAGGAATTTATCATCAAACACACACAATTGCAATCAAACTATTCAATCGATTAATTGTGTACAATCACGCTTTAAAATGTTAATCAGATAGTTATTAAATAACTAGACTTGCTTGGTAAACTATTATATTTTATTGTAGTGTTAAGAATGGGAACGGAAGTCACTAGATTCATTGAAATGATCGGTTCAACTCACAATATGTTTTAAAGTTTAGTGCCATCTATATTTTTACCCGGTCAGAGGTTGTAATCCAACAACTGTTATTCCAGGTAAGAGGGTCTAGTTCTACACTGCCAGTGGCGGATTATGACCTCAGCGGCCCCTAGGCAAATGTAAACTTGGGCCCCCCCATGGGCGTCATTTCAGACTTTTAACTGGGGTGTGGCAAGAGCTACCGGGAGATCTGGGGGGTTATGGAATACCCCCAGGTGGATGGGGGTTTCGGGGGCCCTCCCCCAGGAAATTTTAAGAAACATGCTTTAAATTTGTTAGTTTTTTAAGCTTTTTCAAACTATTTTTACATTTTTAAAATTTTTCTGTCTGCAACCCCCTGAGACCTGCAGACCTAGGCAGTTACCTATTGTGCCTAATGGATAATCCGCCACTGTAGACTGCCTGAATATTCTGTCAACACCATGGGCACCCACAGGGTAATATAAAAACTAAATAAAAAATTAATCAAGGTTTTACTCAGATTAATGCATCAATAATAAATCCTTGAAATAATGTACAAGGGTTGGTCGTACAAAGACTACATCACACCATCACAGTCAAGCTAGCTCGTTCAAATGCAATACCAACATTGTGATCCTTCATCCACTACGGTACCATTCTAACAGGTTCCCACCCCTACTAGATGGTCCTCTCGTCAAAGTATTCAAAAATGTTGTGAAAAAGAATTTACGCCCCCACCAAATATAAATCACATTCTCATTCTATGATTATTTTCCTGTGGTCTCAGTCATCAACCGCTATTGAAGTCCATCGCCAGCTGATGGACTTGAATGGAGTAAAGTAGTTGGAGTTAGGAAATGTGTGCATGAGGTGGAGGGAGTACAGGGGTAGTTTTAAACATGTGTACAGTATTTTCATGGTGTAGGCCAACTTCTGTCATTCATTCGTCTCATTTAAATTGGCGACCAAAAAAAGAGGATTTTTTTTAAGAGGTTGGAAGCCTTGAGGTTTAACCTTGATTTTGCCCGTTGTATAACATATTCAGCAAAGCAAGAGGTAAGCCGGTAGAGTAGGAACTGATCAAATGTTTATGGCAGTGACCATGATCCGAACCCTCGACATTGCTGCCTCGGGCCCAAAATCTGTGATGCCCGACCTAACTTGAAAACTCATTACCCTGAATCGTAAATCCAGATCATGGTGTGTGATTTTCGATTTAACAGGGAACATCTCTTTAAGACTATCAAAGTTCCCTCAAATTCAATCAATGTTTGAATGGAAACTGATGAATACCTGCTGATACCCCCTTGAGCAGATGTCTACGACCTTCTACAAGTCCCCTGCGTTCCTGCTGAGCCACTTATGCACATTTTCTACTAAAGCACTTTTCTGCATACAATCTATAACTGGCAAAATTGATCAAAAGAGGTTTACCACCAACCTAGCCTATAGTAACCTAAAACATGATTCATACTTGGCGGAAGCGTCAATTTCTTTCACAATGTCTTTGAATACTGTGACAAGACTAATTACATAGGAGTGGAGACCAGCTGGAATACTAGAGGATGAATAAATAAACAAAATTATAGTCTGAGATTTTAACTGTGTTCCGCTTGGCTGCGATGGGAGCTCAATGGAGACTTTAATTTTGGACAATCCTCATTTAATCATAATTAAAGTAACTTAGATAACTAAACATTATCAAAAAGAGTTAAAATAATAAAACTGGAACTTAAATAAATAATAAACTCTGTTAGAAAGATAGCCTGTTAGAGAGGTGTTAGATGATGGCCATAGCGGCCTTTGCCATATATCTCCAATACAAATAGACAGTTAAACAACATGGAGAACAGTGGCGGTTCCAGAGAGGGGGCCATAGGGGCCATGCCCCCCCCCCCCCCCGAGAATCAGGTTTTTTTAAGCTTTATAATCTGAAAAAATGACTTCAAAATTGCCGCGCACATCCCCGTTTCCCACCATCCTATGCCTTCCTCACGTCAGTGTGTCAGTCATACAGTACATCCTACTACCCGCTATAAAAAATGCGGCTCAGTAGTCAGTGGAGTTGGTTTTGTTACGGTTTTTTTATTAGTAACACAGTTTTACAAGATTCAACCTATGTGCATCCCTCCACTTAAGCACAAACACATGACAAAATTATAATGGTAAGTAATGGAAGCGTTTAAGGCTTAAGCTTTGCTTATCTGTTTTCTAAGTTAGGTTAGTCTAGACTCATGATTGAACAACCGCCATTACAGTACTACGAGTGCAACGTTGCCGATGTCTACCTGACTACCACACTGTCGTTTCTACAGAGTATTCACTCACGTAGACATGTGCGTTCAAGTGTATACATCATCAACGTCTCAGTGTCGCACGCTCCCCCGCCTGGCTGGGAAATATAGTGCAGATACCATCTATATTATAACTTAATAAGGAGTATGTTTAATGTAATACTCCCCTGGATACTGGCGCGCTGTGTGGTAGAAAAACGGGCCGTGCCCACCATTCAAAATGGTGGGATACTGAGACCGGCGCCACCAGCGGGTCGTATGGACCTCTCTCTTTTACACAAACATACCTTTGCTACACTTATTTTTTAACATAAAGATTTCAAATTTATATATTTTTAGACAGTGCTTATTTTTGTGTAGTTAGTTTGAACCTTAACACATTTTTTTATAGTTTATTTAGGCAAATTAAGATTGATGGTTGATTTTTAACAGCACTAAAAACGTCAAAAATGTAGTAAGCGAGGAACTTTTTTATTTTCTGAAACAATCATTGTTAAAGGAATACAATGCGCGTCGACATTATGAAATAAAACATTTAAAAATAAATAGGTGAAATTACAGGGCTGGTAAGAACAGAAAAAGGTTATCAATGGTTTAAGGAAGTTTTGCATTTAAACTCTCCCTTTCAGATTACATTTACAAGAGATTGAACTTTTTCTTCGTCAGAGTGCTTAAAATGTCGACTTTGTAAGTATAACTTTTCCAAAATTTCCCGGACCCCCCGGAAGTTGAGGCAATGCTGGCCTAGAATTAGAATAACCCCACACCCTCGATAGAATGGCCCCCTCCGAAAACTAGCCCTGGACCTGCCATTGATGAAGAATAAACCTGTGTGTAGTAGAATATTTCATCACAAGGGGTTAAAGTGAATCATTTTTGAACTCACTTTAAATTATACCACAGATTTTTTACCTTAAGGGTATTTCCAAAGTATTCTCTATAACAAGAAAAGGTAACTTAGCCCCCTATAATTAACTGAACTCATTGAAGTTAAAACATTGGTTGTATATTAGTAAGAAGTATTACAAAATATTGTTCATGTTGTCTACAAAACTGTCCAAAAATAATGGTAGTTGATTTTCACTACAGTCTTTAATAGCATTTGAAAGTTGAGTATTGAAACTACAGTCAAAATTCCAAACCAGTTAGGGTTAGATTATTATAACCATGTAGTTCAAATTATTGATTTGTTTGGATTTTAAAACTTATCCTTGAAATGATGTTTATGCTAGATGTGCTTATGGCATATTAGAAAGTTGAAATCAAAAGAAAAGAAAAACAATTTTTTCTGTATCTACATTATACAGGGTGACCGTTAAGTCTTAGGACGACTTTATAACTTTTAAACGACAAACGATATCACAACCAAATTTGGTATACCGTTACTGGAAATTGTAAGCTACTTTTCTGTGTACATGGTGGTCGGATATCACCTTTGGGGGACGGCCCGTCGGGGGTCAGAGGAAAATCTTTAATGACAGCCTATGTTGAGTTGCACATCATTTTAAAGGTCTACTTTAACTGAAAACAATGCCGCAAACCGCTCTTCAAAAGGTTGATCTTGCGCAAAATGGCAGATGTTGAAAGATTTTCAAAATTAGCCAATTTCTTTAAATTAGAACACTTTTTTAAATCTTTAAACAACTGTCATTTTTTAACGGATGGTCCTGTTGAAGTACGGTTTGCGGCATTCTTCTTTGCTTAAAATTCCCTTTAAAATGATCCCCATAACTTCACATTCAGTGATCCAAATAACTCTTCAGGGCGACGGCCCACAACGAGTCGGAAGTAAATCTTGAAAGGAAGCAGAGGTTGATATGCACATCAAATTAAAGGTATTTATTAGTAGGATACAATGCCGCAAACCGTACTTCAAAAGGACCATCCGTTAAAAAATGACAGTTGTTTAAAGATTAAAAAAAGTGTTTTAATTTAAAGAAATTGGCTAATTTTGAAAATCTTTGAACATCTGCCATTTTGCACAGGATCAACCTTTTGAAGTGCGGTTTGCGGCATTGTTTTCAGTTGAAGTAGACCTTTAAAATGATGTACAACTCAACATAGGCTGTCATTAAATTTTCTTCTACCCCCGACGGGCCGTCTCCCAAAGGTGATATCCGACCACCATGTACACAGAAAAGTAGCTTACAATTTCCAGTAACGGTATACCAAATTTGGTTGTGATATCGTTTGTCGTTTAAAAGTTATAAAGTCGTCCTAAGACTCAATGGTCACCCTGTATATTATAAGCAGTACTTTTCATTTAAAAAATAGTGGAATGTGATTGTGAACATTTTCATCTTTAATAAATAAACACACACGCATTACATGAACTACAAATCTAATCAGTGAAACCTTATTTGAAAAGCTAGTCTGGATTTTGAGTTTAAGTCAACATTTAATAAAAACAATTCTAGAGATAAAACGATGTTTTGTTTCAGATGATCACCTCATCCAGGAGCCAAGAAAGTATCAACCTACAGTATTAACGGCAGTTCCTCTATAGCTTGCTGAGAGAGAAAAATAGTTTGTACAATGGATCAAATTATTTTCAAATAAAAACCTTTGATATTATGTGTTTTAGTTTCTATCCATTACATTTTGGGCAGCTTTGAAATTAAAATGTTTTATAAAAATTACTTTACAAATCTCAAATACCCCCGTCGAAGCCAACCTGCCAAATAAGCGAATTTCCATTTGTCTGAATTGATTTCCCATTAAAACAATTTAAATAACATTAGCTTTAACGAGTACCTAGGTTTGCTGCTACAAGGTAACTAATAAAGTGTATTTATTAGTAAAATATTAATTGCTTAGTATAAAATAAATAAATTTGCCAAGTTTGATCAAAATATATCCATAAACAAGCAAACTACAACATTTTACAATATTCTCCATAAGAATAATAACATAGGAATTTTAAATTTACAATTTTTTTAAATTTATCCGTTACCAATAATTGTACAAAAACACTTTGATATACTTTAAAAAGGTCTAGAGAGTAATTGGAAAATTTTGTGTTTTGAGGGTCAAACATGACATAAACCATTTTTTACCCTATTAAACCCCGTTCCCATGGTCCGATCATTCTGGTTCGTGAACTTATTTAAGTATGTCCCGCCTTACACCTTCAAACTCAATTTCATAAAAATCAGACAAAAATTACTCAAGTTATCGTGTTCACAGATGGTAAAAATACTAATAACTGTATTGTATTCTTGATTAGCAATCTTTTAATAATTTCCTGTGGAAGAATCACAATATTAATCCCACCCAAGGTCAAGGTGGTTATGCCAAACTTGCCATACCATAGTTATTATAATAGTTTCTAGAAATTATGGTGGCATAACAAAAACACATCAAGAACTAGGGGAAATTTTCTACTTCCCTCTTATTATCTTTGCCCACAAACAATAATTATTGTGCTATAATAAAACAAATAAACATTTTAAAATATTTGTCAAACATTTTTTTTTATAACTATTGCTTTGTGTCGATGAAAGTGTTGTGTACCTACTGCCTTGGGTCTTAAAATTAGCCTAGCTTTTTTATACAACCAAAAAATAACACTTAGAAGCAAAATTTAAGGGATATAGAGTATTTTTGTTTAACAAGGGATAGTAGCCATGAAGTATATATTACAACCACATTAGACACCTCTACTAGATTGAATGTAATGCATTTCTTGGTTAACCAGATAGCGGGACGTTAGCAGTGCAATATAGCGTAGTGTAAGGGTAATTAACAGGTGTTCTGACAAGTGCTGCCCCCTACAGAGAATTTGAAAACTACAATGAGAGCCGAGACTAGTCGCCTGTTGAATAGACAAAGTAAAATGTTGACGTATGTGTGGTTGGTAGTAAAACCATCACACTTCCAGTCTCACACCCACATCAGGCTCACTGGCTCATTCATAGTTGGACGACATAGCTGACACTGCTAAGACTGAGTTCATATAACCAAAGTCAGCTGTTGTACAACTTTTGATTAATGAAAGAGAGTAAAGGTGTATAGTCAATTTCAGTACTAACCAAACCCTTACATTGGACTGCAGTTAAAGTTTAAGGATAAGGAATGAAAAAATTCCATATCACAGCAACTAGAATGATATATTTTGACATTTGATAACAGTTTTCTGATCTCAAAACCATTATATAGAGTAACATTCAACATCATTACATATAGGTTTAATTTTTAAATAACAGTTTTAAATGTTTTGATTACTAATAATTGTACAAGTGAGATTGTGTATTGTTATAAAACAAGGCCAAAAGTAAGGCAAATATACAGATAAACTGTTGCTAAAAGTTCAATTGAACATAAAATTATCTCAGAGTATGAATCAAAATGCATTACACATATTTAAATATTAATAATGCTTACAAGAATCAGGTATATGAACTGAGACAAAACTCAAATTAGGCAGTGTTACGCACAGTTGACATATTTAAAACATTTTTAGGGAATCTTAAAAGAGTTCAGAAGTACATTTCATCACAAATACTTTAATAGACTGTTTTAGATACAATCACAAACTTGCTTTGTCTGGAAAATAAATATTGTAAAGAAAATCTTTTTCCTACAGTCACCCATACATTATGGGCTATTATCAGTAGTCAACAGGCAGCTGTAGACATTTATGTGTACTATGTTTAAATATTTATTTTTCCCAAAGATAATTTATCGACAAAATCATAAAATCATATTTTAAAAGACATTTATTCTGACTGAAAATCAAAGACATCAAGCCTAATACAATGAATAGGCTATTACATCAATTAACCTACAGATCCATCGAAGTACAAAAATATATTGGAAACCAAGCAAAATAGTATTATTTAACAAATATCAAAAATATATAAAGAATAATCCAAAATATACATGTTTAATTAATAAAATACAATATAGATTAAAGGTAAAACAGGATAAACTTGGTAACTTTAGATTATATCAAAGGATAACCAAGGATAAAAGGTACACGACACTGGTGCCCAACTTCACACCGATTTGGACAAAAGTTTATCTAAAATGATTGGAAATTGATTTTTAAATAATCAGAATTTACCATATAATAAGAATAAAATGTAGAACCCTCAGAAAGGAAAAACCAATTCCCCAGATTTGGGGTTTCATTTCAGAAGAATCAGCTGTTATAATACACTAATGCCAACAACACCCAAATATTATTTCCACCAAGCTATAGAAGTAGTAACTAAGAACTGGATGTCTACTTAAAAACAATCTCATGCATTTTTTTTATTATTTCCCAACGGTATTAGAAGTATTACTGAACTAACTATAATTAAATTATTTAATATACAAGGTCTAAAAACTGTCACACAATATTTGTTTTCTCCAGATCTTCTCAAACGATATTGTTGAATCTTATAGAATATTAACTATTCAAGACGGGATTGCAAAAGAACTTTCAAAGGCAAGACATTCCGTTTTCAACAGGTTCGGAGAAATGTCGTCACGCGGACAACCCCTCTCTCTAATTGGAATGGCGAGAGGGGTTGCTTCAACTTTGGAGCCCTTTGCCTCTGACGATTTTTTGGAATACATTGTCCAAGACAAACCAATTGGTTTTATTGTATGAAATCAAATCAATGTCCAAACTGTGACCGCCCTATTGCCTGTGGGTTTATTGTAAATAGTGGGTGTTGTTGTTCATCCCCACTAAAAGGATATATTTTAGATCACATTTTGTACATGTACAATTTGTAGTTTTTATAGATTTAAAATACAAAGTTTTCAGGATATTTCCGCTGACCAATTTGGCCTTATTTTTTCCCTACCATCACACACACAGGCACTAGGCTCTAGCCCAGGCTCTTTTTCCCCATTACTTCAGGCTACGCCAGAGGTTGTGGCATTATCACTTAGATAAGATTGGTGATTAACAGGATTTGAGCCCAGGAACTCAGGGACCGAAGTTCCACACTGTGCCACTACTAGCTTGCTCCCCAAATTGACCTTATTGAGCTATGATTTGTAATATTGGATGCTGGAGGGAAAAAAAAACATAATACTGTACTATCATTGTAGTTGAACTAAAAGTAGAGTAGTAGACATCCAGCGCTAACACCGAGGTTGAGAAGCTAGTTGGAGGCTACCATCTGCGGACAGTTGGGTGCGATGCAGGAGAATCCTGCGTCTTTACCACAAGTGTCTGCGTAGGGAGTTAGCTTGGCGCAGGTGCTGCACTTCTGGATCTGCAATCATTGCACATTTACATCTTCAATCATTGCAAATTCCTATGGTTTTCCAATAAATAAAAATCTCTTTATTCTGACACATAAACGTTTGTGCATCTCTATAACGATTGGGGCTGTGGCGATGGCGGACGGTAAGGACGTGGTTGAGTGCCCGGTCTGCGAAAAACGATGTTTGGACAATGACAGAGCGATTTTCTGTAATGGAATGTGTCATTCCTGGCACCACGCTAAATGTGTGAACATAACTGTAAAAAAGTATGGTGAAATACAAAAAGTGGAAGATTTTATGAAGTGGTTTTGCCCGGTCTGTGACGTCAAACTGAGGAACTACATCTCCCGAAACAACGTGGAATCAGAGCTATCTCGTGAGTTACTTGACATTAAAACCCAAATTACATCATTTCAAAAGACTGGCTTAGGACTCGAAAAAAAACTAAATTTGCTGATTAATCATAGCATTAAAACTAAAGTAGCAATAAAACAAATTGTAAACTCAGATAATTCGTCTAGTAACAACATAACCTCATTGGACAAAACTTCAAAACCTGACATGTCTCCAATCCCCTCCACACATATGAGTGATGACGTATTTATGTCAATGACGACATCGAATGATGACTCTGTTATAATCCAACCCTCATTGGCTGGCGAAAAATCACATGAAATACAGAAGGCAGTGGATGAAACTGAAACTACAGAGATGACCAATCACAACGAAGAACCAAGAAATGGAAATGGACTGCTGGAATTGACGCTAGTTTCGGTACATAAGGAAAGTGAACTAAACGGTTATAACGAAACTGCTGATTCTCAAACTTCTAAATCTTCTCCATCCCAATTTTTAATTGAAAATAGTACCTCTTATCTCAACACAAGTAAAGCATCGAATATTTCCAAATACCCGAAAAGCTATTCTGATGTCCTTAAAACCAAGTCAAACAACACTGATGTTCACACTAGCAAGTCAAAATCGAAATACAATGACGTTCATAGTTGGAAGTGGTGTCTCAAATAAACTGAAAGCAGCTCGCAGAAAATCCCTGTTCTTTGTCTCTAGAGTCAGTTCCAACGCTTCAAGCGAAGAAATTTCTTGCCTGCTGAACGACAATGGCATAACCGACAGTGAGTGTTATGAGCTCAAGACCCGTTTCAAAGACTACAAGTCATTTAAAGTGTGTGTTCCTGCGGACCTTGAATCCAAAATCCGTGACCCTAACCTATGGCCTGCTGGAATATTAGTAAGAGCCTATCTTCCATCCAGACGTGAAAATAGTGAAAAGTCGTCTTTTTTAGGCAGAACCTTTTATCGAACTGTGGTGAGATAGTGGAAGAGAAGACTGTGGTTTTAGGCTCATCTAGGCCTACTCCCCAATCTAACATCTCAATTAGGCCTAACCTAAACCTGTCAGCGACTAGGCCTAGGCCATTGCAAGTTGGTGCTAAAAAGCCTGTTAGTGTAAATAAGCCTGTTATAAAACCAGTTACTGTAAATATAGCTTCTTTGAACGTTCAATGTCTTAGAACTAAAGTTGAGCTCTTGTCCCTCTTTGTGGAGGAAAACAACTGTGACATTCTGTGTATCTCGGAGCATTGGTTGAACGCTGAAGAATCAACTTACTGTATGAACTTAGCTTCCCTACAACAGGTTAGTGCCTATTTCCGTGAGGACCATAGAAATGGTGGTGTGGCTATCTATGCAGCATCCAATTTTAATTGTAAATATATTGATTTGAACATTTTTTGCATTGAACTTGCTTTTGAGGCAACCGCTGTGGAAGTAGTTGACATCTCGACAATCTTGCTGTCCGTGTATAGGTCACCTGATGGTCCCTTTGAAACATTCATTACACAGCTTGATTTGTGTCTCGACTACCTTAGTAAGCTCAACTCAAGACTGATTGTGTGTGGCGACTTCAACGTACATCTGGAACGCCCTTCGAGGGAAGAATCTATCTTTGTGAACTTACTAAGAAGTTTTGATCTCCACATATCCTCGAGGGCTCCGACCAGAAGAAGTGCATGCCTGGATGCTATAGCGACCAACATAAACTCCTGGGACCATAGGACTGTGGTTGTCAAATCACTGGTGGCGGATCACGATGGAGCTGTGCTCATGTCATTGGTAGCGGACCAGGTAAGGACCCAACCTGCATGGTGTGATAACTATCTAATTAAAAAGAGAGTTGTAGATAAGACCTATCTGCCTTCTTTGTGTCAAGAGCTAGGGAAAGTAAACTGGGACCCAATTCAAAATATTCAACATGCCGAATCTGCTTTTTCCGTCTTTTCTAAAGCATACCATGATAAATTTGATGAGATTTTTCCGCTTAAAGTTTGCAAATTTAAATCTAGTACCTCAAATAAGCCTAAGCCCCCAAATAGCAATAAATCATGGTATACCCCTCAACTTGCAGAAATTCGCTCTCATATGATCCTAGTCCATGATCATTACAAACTTGCCGATGATGAAAATCAAAAAAATCGCTACTTCCTACTCTATACTAAAATAAAACAGCACTATAGTTCTGAAGTTAGGAATGCAAAGAAGGCTCACAATGTTAAAGTGATCTCAGAATCCACAAATGCCTGTAAAGCCGCGTGGGGGATTGTTAATGAACACCGCAAACAAACTCCTGGCCCCATTGCTGTAGTGTCACCTGACGAATTTAATGATTTTTTTGTTGAAGTTGCGGATGACATAATCTCTACCTTACCTTTGTTACAGCATCAGGACCCCATAGACCAACTTGAAGATTTTTCCTCAAACCATACACTAACCCATTGGAGCAAGGTGAGTGAAAAACAAATTACTAGTATAGTCAAGGGCTTTAAAGATTCAACTTGCCAAGATATAAATGGCCTGTCAACCTCCATACTTAAGAGTACGATTAATGAAATAGTAAAACCCCTAACTTACCTGATAAATTTATGCCTAAGCAATAGTATTTTTCCGAACTGTCTTAAAATAGCAAGAACCATTCCAATTTTCAAAAAGGGAGATCCTTCAGTGATGTCTAACTATAGGCCAATCTCTATACTACCAGTGTTCTCCAAGATCTTTGAGACCGTCATGAAAATCCAACTGATGGCCTACCTTGAAAACAATCACTTACTTTCTGAGGCGCAACACGGCTTTAGGCGCGGGCGCTCAACGACCACTGCATTGACGTTCCTTGTTGAGAAAATCACCGAAGCCTTTGAGCAAAGCGAGTCAGTCCTTCTGAGACTCTGCGATCTAAGCAAGGCCTTCGATGTCGTGGGTCATGATTTGCTCATAGCGAAGCTTAGGAAGTATGGAGTTGGAGGTGCTGTCCTTGATACCTTGTCATGCTACCTGGCCGACCGCAAGCAGGTTGTCTCCCTGAATGGTGCTTCCTCTTGTATTAGAGATGTTCCACACGGAGTACCTCAGGGCTCGGTGCTAGGCCCAATCCTCTTTACCTTGATGATAAATGACCTGTGGCTTGATGGATCCACCATGTTATTTGCAGATGACACCACCCTCATATCACAAGGAAAGGATATTGGACTGGTTCGGACTGAGGCCGACCATCTACTGGAACGGGCCAAAGACTGGTTCAACATGAACCGTTTCAAGCTGAACGAAGACAAAACACAATCGCTGCTGTGCACCCTGAAGCTTGATTTGCATAAAGATGAGGCCGTGAAACTTCTTGGGTTTTGGCTGGACCCCAGGCTAAGTTGGAATACACATATAGAATATAGATAAGGTATGTACTAAACTTTCGAGAGTACTGTGTCTTTTAAGAAAGCTTCGTTACGTCATCTCAACGACCTATCTACTAAATGTGTATTATGCACTTTTCCATAGCCATGTCACCTATGGCATAGCAATGTGGGGACACGCACCACAAACTCAGGACATTCTCCTCTTACAGAAGAAGGCTGTGAGAATCATAACATCCTCAGACATTGATGAACACTGCCGGCCTCTCTTCATGAGGTTAGGAATACTAACAGTGCACAGCCAATATGTCCTGAGCAGCCTGCTACTCCTGAAAGAAAACCTTCACCGTTTTGAATTGAGGGAAAACCAACATAACCATAACACCCGAAAGGCCCAAGACCTTGATCTGCCGCGGTGTAGGCTTAGCCACTCCATCAAGAGCTACCCTCGCTCAGCTATTAAGATTTTTAATACGCTGCCAAAAGAAGTGAGAGAGCTGGACAGTGCGAAGTTCAAGGCAGTACTGCACGGCCAACTGGTAAATAGACCCCTCTATTCATTAGAGGAATTGAAGGAGGTGCCACTAAAAGTCAGTTGAAATCAGCACTCCAGTAGGTTAGGAATACAACCGCCACAGCCAAAAACCAAAAAAAATTTTTTTTAAGTGTATTTTATGCAAGAAGTCTGTAAATATTAGTTTTTAATTAATGTGTAAATAGTATGTTAATATGCCACTGACGCAATCTATCCGACATTGTCGGTCAAGGATTAAGGACACAAGTATCAAATATCAAGTATCAAGTAACCTACAGTTCATAAAGGTCTCCAACCAGCTCCTATTACGGACCAAGCTGGTTTAAATCATTCTTTGCTACTCCCACCCTTAATTCTGGGGGACCCCTTCCCTGTGATGCTGAAGTGTTGACGCAGTAATCATCACAGTGGAAGGGAAAACTGATGCTCCCATCAAGTAAAAACTCCATCCTATAATTGGATTTCTGAGATTTGAGGGGATCTCAACGCCTTTGTGTGTGGAAGACTAAAGAGTTCATGGTTGTAAATATGTGCTTAATTATTTCTCACTCTGTGACTAATGAACTATGTAAGCATTTATGATTATCAAATATATATATAAACAAACCTAAAATTATGTAAATATTATGTACCAGCTTGTGAGCTTATAGATAAGTTTGTTGACTTGCATCAAAGCTTGATTGATACAACAATACATATATTTTGTGGTAGTTTGAATAAGTAAAAGATGTTTTTGGCTTCCATTATCTTAGGATTTCCGTCTAAGTGGTTCTGTGACCTGATCGTAGAACATATCAAGCAAAGCAAGGGGTGATCCGGTACAGTACAAGATCCAAACTTTTAGTCTTTACCTAACCTCTAACCTTTAATCTAAAACTGTATTACTTTATCCATTACTTTCTCTTAGATGTCTCTCAGTATTTGAAACTTAAAATAATCACCCAATAAGAGGATTTTCATTATCGTTCTCCTGAAATCAATTATTGTGATTATTTTAATTCGTAATTTCAAAGAAATTGAGATTGAATACCTTCCAGATGCTCTAATACCAGTAGTTCTATACAGTATTAAAATAAGTAAGTTAAGCGCTTTCAAAACATTTCAAATGCATAGTAAATGGATAGTTTTCAATGAACAGTTCATCAACATACCGGAGCGAGTGGCAGTTTAAGATAGGACCAGATCTCAAGAAGGTCGTGCACAAAACTGTCAATCATCTGTTGGGAGTGGCGGGGGGTCGGGGCGAGACGTAGCTTCTCCTCTCCCAGCCGGACAGTAGGGTAGTTGATGGCTTGTACGTAATGTCCCTTCTTGCGCAACAACAAATCAGACACAGCTGTGCATTGAGCTGGGTCTCCAATCTGGAACCGAACATACTTTCAATTGTCAATATTTCAAACCTTGTGGATAGATAACCTATTTAATTTTGCCAACTATAAGATAATTCAACATGCAAAATGGTTTCCTGTGTTCAAATTCAGCCATTTCACACCAATCATAGCAACTGACTTTGAGGGGTGTACATCAGAAACCTAGGAAGACAAATGTGTGTTTTTTTATACTGCTAACTTTCAATTATCTGTGGCCCTTCATGGTGAAACACACATTTCGAAGAGGCAATAAATTAGTCATTGATATTGGTAGAACAATAAATTTTAAATCATGATGTGGAATCTTGTGACTTTTCAGTCACAGTGTCCAGTCTGATTCAGTGACACCTACAGTGAACAGTAGTAATTAATGGGTATAATAAGTACATTTCTGTGCTTTGTTGGATTTTTGACTATTGAAATCACCTAACTTTTTTAGCATTTAAATTAATGTAACTCAGGTGGGCCTTGTTCAATTTAAAATATAGGTTATCCTTAAGATATTCAAGCTCACAATGTTTTCAAGACCTTTCAGGATATAGAATCTGACCCTGTACTCAGGTGATAAAATATTTAAACATTACAAGAATAGTACACAAACTGAGCCGAAGCTGGAAAAACACAATAAAAACCACGTTCAGAGCAGTATAGTAGTCAAATACAAATAAATACCATAAGAATAAAAACAAACGAACGCCACTATAAAATATAAGCATTTGTTAGATAATGTACACTCCCCATCAGCAAAAATAAGGTTAAAAGGGATGTCGGATTAGTTTGGATGTCCAATTGTTGAGGAGTACATAATGAGGCTTCATGAGATGACTTTTCTTTGCTTGAAGATTGAATGTTGTAATTTTTTTTGGAAACTCAAAGTTTTTCTTATTTGACCTTGCTCCCACGAGAGATTCAGATTCAGATTCTTCATTTGTCACAATACATTTTCCTCCACAGCACAGCTGGTAAAACAGGTGACATGTCAACAACAGAGTTGAGTGGCAATAGGAGTGACACTTCAATTAGATATTCTAGACTTATTTAACTTTCAGATTCTGTAGACCCACCCTGATAGGAATGATATGAGATGGGGAAGGCTCCACAGGGAAGCCGTGCTCCAGCAGTTTAGTCTTCATATATGCCACATTCTCCTGATGTTTCAGCCGCAGACTACGACCCTCGGGTCCACTCAAGACGGAGATGGCCGCCCTTGCTCCAGACACCACCGTGGGGGGTAGTGAGGTGGTAAAGATGAACCCAGCAGCGTAACTGCGCACCATGTCAACCAGTTTGCTAGTGCCAGCGATGTACCCTCCAACGTTTCCTATCGCCTTCCCTAGGAACATAGCTCAATTAGCATATTCTGCAAATACTTCATGTATTTTTTTAAGGTTTCTTACCATCAAGTTTAGATATTCACTTAAAAAATATCCTAAATTAAATTTTTTGCTATCTATGAAATTATCAACGATGTCAAACCTTATTTATGTACACATTATTTTCTTTTAACATTTTCCAACACCAGATAATTTTATACAGTCAATCTCAAAATAAAAAAAAATCAGAAAGTAATGAAGAAACTTGAGCAGAATTAATAAAGTCCAAGACATGGTCCTATAGTCTATAGTCCTAAGAGGTGATGCTAAGCCTTTAAATGCCTAGAATTAAAAGATTTAAAATAGATTTCCCCATAGTGAATCAGATAATGAAAATTAAGTCCTTTATTTTAAATTGAGAAATAAGCCAACTGTAACATTTTACACTGGAAACGAGGTGGTTTCCTTCTCCATTGATATAGAATAGACTAAATTTTACTAGTCCTACTAGTTCGAACACTCCAAACATGAGTAATCCAAATGTCCCCATGATCTGAAAAAGTTCCAGAAATTTGTTGCTAATAATTTATAATAATGTAAAAATATATTTTAGAATATTAAATAAAATAAAAAAACTGTAAGTTAATTATTAATCTACTTTTTAATGTGTTGAGATGCATTAAATATTTAACTGCTCTAGCCCATTATTGACGTACAGGCTCCCACATCATTGTTTTTGGGACATCACAGTTCATTTGGCAAAAATAAAACGAAAGCAGAAAAAAGAAATATTGACCAATAGCTCAAAGATGACATCAAAGCTTGCACTGAAAATCGTCTGCTCCTGCAGATCTGTCTTTTGTGTGCTGTCATGCTAAATTTAATTAGCTTGGGACTGATGATGACAAGCTTAGTAGCTTGTGATTGAGTGTTTAAAAACCAGGGAAACTTTTGTAGCTGTGATTGGGTGATAAGTAAGGCCGGCCGCACACTGATCAGATTTACAAAACGTTTTGTCGGAAGACGTCTTGTCGGAAAACAAAAATGTCGCATTGGTGTGCGGTGGTCTCAGACAAAAGACAAAAACAGGAGGGAAAACTAAATTCTGTCACCCATAGACCAGTGTTCTGAAAAGCCAGAGATTGTGTGGTGTTAATAAAATGGATGAGGAAGTGGACGTAGCAATTATGTTGTGGAACTTTATACAACTTGCAGAACTAAACGAAGGAAGGTAGCATAAATATTCTGTATTTTCTACATAAATATAAAATGAACGACTACTAACTGTAAAGAAAATTATTACAAAATATGGAATAAGCTGAAATATTTAAAATTGAAATAACATTTATATTATTTTCTGCATAAATCGAAAATGAACAACTACTAACTGTAAGAAAAATTATTACAATATATAGATAATTTGAAGTATTTGAAATTAAAATATTGTTTTATTATTTTCTGCGTGAATCGAAAAGAAACTACTACTAACTGTAAGAAAAATTATTACAATATATAGATAAGTTGTACTGTATCCGCCCTCCGTGCATGCGCAGAACTGTTTGTCTGATCGCGTTTTGGCTTCAGACGAAATATTGGAGGCGATCACAAAAACACCCAAAAACGTCTTCAGACAAAACAACGCGTCTGAAGCTTCTGTCGCATCAGTGTGCGATGCCTCCATTTAACTGCATGGTAGGCCACTCCCTTCCGACAAAACGTTTTGTCGAAAGACGTTTTGTCGCATCAGTGTGCAGACGGCCTAACTATAGCAACTTGTTGAATGCGTGGAAGAAGAGAGACTAAAAAAAGAAGAGAGAAACCAAGAGAAAGAATTACACAGTGTTGTGTTGTTTTGATCTCTATCTTCTTTTTACGAGTGTTGTTATGATCTTGGGAAAATCAATGCTACTTGACTATTATTGTTATTGACACGCCTCTGTTCTGAAACAGCACGTTCCGATGAACTATCACCAGCAGGAGGTTACAATGGCTAGTTTGTTCTATATATGATTCATTTCTGTACAGTATTTGTCTAATTTCTTGTTAAGTTTGAGTTAAATGTAATTTAAAACATTACAGTTTGTATATATATCTTAACCAAAGTCAGTGACTTCAAATATCATGATTATGGAATATTAATGATTGCGCAGTACTTTTTTGTTTTGATGATGTAAAAAAACAAAATGTCCGATTACTGTGGTTTTAATTATTTGTGGTCTTCCTCCTCCCAATCACCCCGGTTAATCCAGGTTCTAATATATTTAAAACATTTAGGCTAATCTGAACAATCAAGTGATCCGAACACAGTTTGGTCCAGAATAGTTTGGATTAGCAGACTTAATGAGTACATTGCACAAAATTGAACATATAAAAAAGTCAAAGAAACTAGTCGCATTCTCATCTCAAACAAGATTTACAAATATGCCACATGTCTGGAAGTCTACCAACCTAAAGTTCCAGAAATGATATCCATCTGATCCAGAAGTCCGTCCCTTTCTCCGACTCCGGCCCCTTTGTATCCGTAGAGACCCACAGCGTGGACCTCGTCCACGAATGTCAATGCTCCAAAATCATGAGCAACCTGCCAATAGGTTACCGGTATATGAGAGATTATTATTTAAAGTTTTCTATTGTATGTTATCAAATACAACATTAATGTAGACAGTTACTCCCTTGATGATAGTAAAAAAGTAAATACCACAGCTGAAATAAAGGTCAAAAGTTCTATATTGATTTTGTTTTAGCCCAAATGATCTATTGATGTACCTAATGATTAAGGCTAGGATTATACTAGGACGCTGGCGTCCGGGATGCTGGCGTCCGAGAGGCTAGCGTCCCACCTCGAGCCGAAAAATGACGTGATTTGTGTTGGGATGCTAGCCTCTCGGACTGCCATTTTACTTCAATGTTTAGTCACTTTTTTATATCTAATTAAATAACATTATGTTTAACGAGTACCAAGGTTTGATGCTTTAAGGGGGCTAATAAAATGTGTTTTTAGTAAAATACTGTATTATTAGCTTAGTATAAAACAAATCGTCCAAGTTTAATATATCCATACACAAGCAAATTCCAACACATAACAACATTTTCTATAAGAATAACATGGCAATTTTTAGTTACTCTTTTTTTAATTTTCTCCATAACTAATAACAGTACAAAAACACTTAAATATATTAAATTATTTGTTTTTAAGCTCATTAAAATTGTCTAGAGAGAAATTGGGAATTTTCCAGTTTTATGGGTAAAAAATGACAAACCCCCTTTTTTAGCACATAAAACACCGTTCCCAAGGTCTGTTCATGCTGGTTCGCGAACTCATTCAAGTTTATCCCACCCCTCACCTTAAAACAGAATTTCTTCAAAATAGGACAAAAGTTACTCCAGTTATCGCCTTTACAGACAAATATATATTATTTAAATCTATACGAACGGATGGTGTTTTTGGCCTCTGGGGACATCAAAATTAAAAAGTAAATCGGTCCCGGGCCTAGGTCATACCATGCCACCTACGGTAATAGCTTCGAGCGTCCGGTGGCTCTTTTTAGCATCCGACGCTAGCATCCATAGTATAATCGCCCCCATTTGATTTAATGCCCCGCTAGCGTCCCGGACGCTGGCCTCTCGGACGCCAGCGTCCTAGTATAATCCTAGCCTAAGTTTTAAATGAGGAGCCCAACTGACATATTTTAGGTGCCAATTGAATATTAATAAAATATATCAGGACAACGACTAATATTGGAATAGTATATTTCATCACAACTACTGAAAGTGCCATTTTTCTGTGCGTGTTTAAGTTTCATGTGCAAGGCAAAGATGAACACAGGAATACCGAATTTGCCGTGTGTGATAAAGCCCAGAATGGTAGAATGAGTTTCACATATGAGGTGAAGCTAAGGTCGGGAACAATTGGAGCAAGCGCCAGAAAATTACTTTCAGTATAAGTTATGAACGATACTTTTCACCACGGCACAACAATACACACTCACAGAATAATAGACCTCAGTAAGATTAAAACTTTTGTATTTCTCAATTAAAATTATTTTATAATAATAAAAGCAAATAAGTAATAGTAAGTAAACCAACTTAACAAAGTAAAACTTATGCTGCATACATTTAGCAGGTTAAACAGTAACAACAGCTGATTTAAATTATGAAAATAACCACTAGAGTGCTTAGTGGACAAATGGAGAACTGATTGAGAGTAAGCGAAATTGTTCTTCACTTGCTCTGAATTAGAGCTTGGGAAACATTTGTCAATGAACATTTTAAGGACAAACGTTAAGTACGTCTGTCAAATGACTCAAATAATAGTAAATGGCATAATATTTTTAATCCATTACTGAGACGCCAAGGTCTGAATTTTTAATTGTCTATTGTTTAACACTGTTTAGGTATTAAGAGTGCTTTTCTTCAAATAGTCTTTTAGTTAATTAAGTTTTTTCTTGGACAGTGAAAAAATGATAACAATTAATTGTAATTAATTAAGTTGGTTACGTAATCCTGATTTTAGTACTATTTTCATAATAAATTTAACATTTAACTGACCTGACAAAGCTCATCCAAGGGGCAAATAGCACCCGTCATGGAATGGACCGTCTCAAATGCTACAATCTTGGGCACATTCTTGTCTACAGTAGAGAGCAGCTCAGCAAGGTGGGTCGGATCATTGTGGCGGAAAATGTGCTTAGGAACTCTGCTGTTGCGGATACCCTGAATCATAGACGCGTGGTTCCCCTCATCCGAGAAGATATGACATCCTACAGAAGAAATATAACATAAGTCATCAAATATTGTAATGGTTGCAAACCATGAGATGGAAGATGAAAACTCCAGAGTGAATTGGTAATGATGACTAATAAATTCAGAATATTGATATATAAAACTTATTTACAACAGGCAAGACTATGTTTTGCAAGTAAGAGTTGGTTTTGTCCTTCTGCTGAAATGTAATGTACATCAAAACCATGTCAGTAAATTCAAGAGTTACATTTTTCTTGCAATACGGTTCTTCGTTAATAATTTTGCAATAGTCTTCATTCATGATATTATCTCAAATTGAAAATATTATCGTAAATTGAATTTGAGATGTAATTGATCCAAATTGTTTACAGAAAATTTACCATACCCCATAAGGGATTATAATAAGATATATGAATCAGCGATGTATTTTTCTGCTTGTCATACTGATCCTAGTGTTTAAGGAGAAAGATCCAATTTTGTATTACTGTGTATCACTATTTAAAGTTGTTTGTACATTTACAATTAAAGTTAGAACAGTTACTTAACTCTATGAATACAACTTAAACAAAATCTTATACGTTTTTGAACACACCTGGTAGAGCCTTGGCTAAAGTAAACAATGTTGAATCATTTGCTACAAAACAGGAGGTAAACAAGAGAGCGGCTTGTTTCTGGTGCCACTGGGCGAGATCTTGCTCCAGGTTCTCAATGAGGATAGAGTTGCCAGAAATGTTCCGAGTTCCTCCAGCCCCGGCCCCGTAAGTGTCCACAGCGTCCCTGGAACAACCAATGAGGTTGTAGAGTGCCAAAAAGGTATAAATAGTTTATAGTTGTAGCAGAACAAAATGTTTGTTAACAGTGTCACTACATCTTAAACAGTGCTGCAAAGCTGTGAACTGGATTACAAAACTTTGAACAACTCAACAAAGTTGTACAAAATACTAAAGTTGGGAACTGTGTTACAATGGTTTCCAGGGATACTCCTTGCCTTGAATGTCTATATTTTTATTTTATCAATACTTTTAATAGTTAACAGTGAAATGACTTATAGACGTTGATCTAACAATTAATCTTATTAAGTTCATCAACCTTATTTTTAATTTAAAAGTGTCTATCGAGTCTAGATAGTTCTTCAGTCCTACAACATTCATCAACTAAGCTTTTTTGTCAATAAACTATTTATTTTCCAGTTTCTGATAATCATAAGTTTTGCCTTTTTTTGGTTTTCTATAGTTTTATAGTTTTTGTGTATTGGTTTTTACTTTTTGCACCATTTATGTATATAATCAACTTTATATAGTAAATGTGTACTGTAGAACCTCGATAACAAGACTCTCATAGGGACGATTAAATATGACTTGATATCAAGGTTGACTTCTTATCGAGGTTTGAGTAACATGTGATAGATAAGTGGTTAAATAAATAAAAGAAAGAGGTTTTGAAAATGACACTTGTTATCAAGGTTATACTGTATATTCATATTTAATAACATAAATTAATATGTTAACATATTCAAATTTGAAATGTTATACAGGGTGTCCCGGAACATTCTGGACCATAGACAAGTCAAAATATCATATCCAAAATTTCAAAAATACCGTATTTTTGGATAATTTAATATTTAAATAATACTAAGCAGCTCACTGATTTACATTATAACAGTTGGTATTGACATGAACACATTTTCTTACAAATTAGTTTTCTCCCTTATTTTATGAGCCGATTTTTTAAATTTTGGTGTCAACAGTTTTTTAATTGAATTCTCTTTTAACTACATAATCTACCAACACACCAGATTTATGTTATTTACCGGATTTATGTTTTTACATAATAGTTGAAATTTTTTCATTTGAGGTTTTTGAGATACAGTTGAACCTCGTTTGTACGAACCTCGATAAACCGAATTCCTCGATAAGACGAATTTTTCTTAATCCCCTTGACACTTTCATATAGGTCAATGCTAAAAACGCCTCTATACAACGTAGTAATTAAGTTAAAAACCTCCATAAGACGAATTTGTTTGTGACATGGACTAGGACTGATTAACCTCTATACAACGAATATTCTTAGCACAAAACCTCTACAAGACGAACGTGACCTCTATAAGACGAATTTATCATAATCTTAACCTCCATAGTACGTAGTTTGTACTCCAAACAGAAGCTTGTCTCAACATGAAACCCCCACCCATCCCTCCTCCTTCCTCAGTCATTGTTTTTGGAGAAACCTTGGAGCGAGGAGAAACCTCTATAAGAAGAATAACAGCAGCATTAAACCTCGATAAAACGACCCTCTTTATTAAGAATACCTCTATAGTACGAATTTTTCCCGTACCCCTTGAAATTCGTCTTATAGAGGTTCAACTGTATTTATTATTTACGTTTTAAATTTTTAAGTGACCGCCATTTTGAAAATGAACACTCTTACAAAAATATTTTTTTTTTAATTAGTTAAGGTAATAAATAAGGCTATATAACAAATTTCATTTTTTTTATAAATAGCTGTTTTTGAATTAAAAATGTTTTTGAAAAAAAAACAACAAAAAAGCATCTATACGAGTGTTTTTGATATTTGGAATATGATATTTTGACTTGTCTATGATCCAGGAGTAATACCTGAAAAGTTTGTTAGAGTTATGAGTTTGAATATTTCAAATGAAATTTAACTGTTAACTTCAATTTTGAAATGAGATAGTCACAACAGAAACTTTCAATTGTACAGCAATAGGTAGTAAGGTGACAGTTGTTGTCAGTTTCTACATGGAGGTGGCTGTCTGCCTAGCCACTTGTGTATTCATGAGCTTGGCTTATATTCAACCCATATGAAAGTCAATACCGCCTCTTTCTATTTATGGATGCACTAAATCTAAAACCTAACCTTACCTACTGAATGAATGGGGCTTGCTTCTTTCTTTATGGATTCAGTAGATTATGAACTTCCTGTCATTCGGTGTGAATTATTCATCCATCTTAATGACGTTTTTGGCAAGTTCCCAAAACATTATAAAGAGAATTTTTGATGTTAAGTTTGCCTATTTTAAAACTTTTGTAAAGTTGAAATACTGACAGCCTCTAAAGTATACATAACTTTCTTAATTTCATCCGTACTGTATTAATTTCATTTGTACTTTTTTACAGTACTTAAGTTAGAGTTGTGTACGGTATTTGAATTTTTTTATATGTTCTTGTGTAGTACATATAAAATGTAGCGTATATCTTTTTACTATGATGATGACAATGCCAATTACAATATTGCATTGTTCAAAGACTGAATAAATAACTATTCATTGTAAAATCACATGATACCTTATTTGTGAAACCAGAGACAATAAAAACATATCAAATAATGTAATATGATATGATTATATTATATGAATGAATAATGATGATAAGATATGAAAATGGAAAAACCCCTGAATTTAGAGTACACAAAGGGCTATCAGCCGCTTGTTGGTGTTGGAATGAGGACAGCAGTGTTTGTTTGTGTTTTGCGAGTGTGTGTGTATTGGGAAGAAGGTCTGTTATCTTTTGGGGGAAGGGTGGTGGGAGGAGGGGAGGGATCTACCGTTTGTCCAGTTGTTAAATAATATTATGTTAGCCACCAATCACTCAGACCACCAGCATAGCTTTCAACCTGCTCAAAATTCTTTTTCTTTCATCTTTTAAAAAAATTGTCAAAAATATATCGATTCTCTCCCATATACAGGAGTGAATTCTCCTTTGTGGGATATAACTGTGTTTGGTTTGATTTAAAAAGCGTTTAACAGAAACTTGTTATATTATTTAAAAAACTAAAAATATTGTAAATATCTTTGTACAGAGATTAAATTATGTAATATTTTAATTGTTTTTGCAAAATAAATGATATTTAGATTTGAGGGTTTGCAAGTTTTGGGTAGGAATAAACAAATGTTTTCTTGCAGTACCTGACAGCTTGTTTGATGGTTGGATGACAGGACATGCCGAGATAGTCGTTGGCACACCACACAGTGATTGGTTTCTCTCCGTAGCTGTACTCGAGGGCAGAGGGAAACTCCGAAGCCAATCTAGCCACCTTCTTGAACACCCTGTACGAGTGATCACGCTTCTTTCGCATTATCTGCTCGTGGAAGAAATCTTCATAGGGGAATGTACTTTCTGTAAATAGAAGGAAAATTATATAAATAGTCTTAACATTATACAAGGGCAGTTCGGAAGATAAAAATAACCTACATTTTCTTCTTTTGCGGGAAGTGAAAGGGGTAGCGCCGCCATCCTTGTGGCTGTGCACATCGCAGGTCAGTCGGCGTCCAGCTGTGGTAGTGTAACGGTCGTCTGAGCGCTAGTTTTTTTTCCGTTGCTAGTCAAATGAATACTGCAAACGAAAATCCCGCCAAGTGTGAAGTGCATCCTGTGATTAAATTTTTCGTAGCTAAAACAGTTTTCGGCATCAGCTATTCATAGAGAGCTTTGTGTTCTGTATGGACCTAAAATAATGAGTGAAGGAGTTGTTTGGGAATTGGTTCCCTTGTTAAAAATGACCGAACGAACGTGCATGATGAAGAAAGAAGTGGCAGGCCATCAGCGGTCAGTGACGAATTGGTTGAGAAAATCGACACAAAGATTCATGACAACAGACAATTCACAATCTCAGAACTTTTGGACGAATTTCCACAACATTTTTTTAAAAAAACTTGACTTTTCTGTATGAGTGACTAACAGGTTAGGTTACCATAAATTTTGTGCTTGGTGGGTCCCGGAAATCCTTTTGGAAAACCACAAGACTCAACGAATGACCTTGGCTCTGGACTTTTTGACTCAATACGACAAGGAAGGAGAAACCTTTTTGAACCGAACTGTGACTAACGATGAAACCTGGGTAAAACACATGAATCCTGAGACTTCTAAAGAACAGTCTAAGTTGTGAGGTCATTCGGCATCATGACACAAACTAACAAAAGCCCGGCAAGATTTTTCCAAGAAAAGCTCATGGTAACTGTGTTTTGGGACTCCCTTGCTGATGTTTGAATTTATGGAATGTGGTGCAAGAATCAATGCGGATTTGTACGTTGAAACTCTGAAGAACCTAAGACAGGCAATCCAAAACAAACCCTGCGGTCCTCTGTTGTCAGGCGTCGTTCTTCTGGATGACAACGCACGCCCTCATACTGCCTAGAAAACCATGGACCTTTTGGACCACTTCAAATGGGATGTTTTTTCGCATCCTCTAACATGTCCTCATATACCATCTCTTCAATCACATGAAAAAATTGCTGGGCTCCCGACGATGATGAAGAACTGAAAGATGCAGTCACGGGATGGCTCAAGGCACTGGTGGGTGATTTTTTTTCAAGAGGGAATTTCAAAGTTAGTCCATAGATATGATAAGCATTTGAATGTCCAAGGAAACTATGTTGTAAAGTAGAGGAAAGCCGTAGTTTTAAGATGTATATATAAAAATGTTGTTTCTACTCGTGTTTTATTTATAGAAAAACTGGGGTTGCTTTCCAAACAGCCCTCGTATATAATCCTGTGAGTTTCTGGATTTTACATATATAAATTATAGATATTTTTCACCCTAACAACCAGATTGGTAGATTGGTTATATGATGAGTGGCAGTAAAGTTAAAGAGTTGCTACCACGATAAATAATCTCAAATAATATGGAATAGTCCTAAATATTTTGGTTCTGTTCAAGTATTTTCAACATCATTCAGTCTTTTTTATAGATCTTGGTAATACAGCTTTATTTTAATGCTATAACATTGTAATTTTAAAACTAAAGAGGAAATTTTAAATCTAAAAAATTTAAGAAATGCAATTAAAATACTTATTGCAAACCCAAAATAAATAAATGGTAATTTTGAATGTTTGTTTTGTTGGATATTATGTTTCTATGTTAACTCTAAAACAAACAAAATTTGTATTAATGGATATTCCAATAAAAAGTAGTGACATCAGGCAATGTAGTGAACACCAACTTGAATAGAACATGAAGTTATCAATGTAAACACGTAGATGCTATAGCAAACACATTGCATGATAAACAATTCATAGACGTTTCTTGTTGAATGGGTAAGGTTTTCAGTAACAATGGACAATGCTAATCTTCCAATTGAAATAAGGTGCTTTTAGGTTACCTAAGCCCATTTCTCTATTCATCTAAGGAACTATTTTCCAAGTATTAAAAAAATCGCTGGAAAAAATCATAGACAAATAGAGGTTTTCACGTAATATATGCTTCGCATAAAACCGTTTACAAGGAATAGAGTTGAGATTTTCAATACTGTACTAAAAAAAAGGTTTGAAAAATAATATAAAAACACATCAGTTACACCTAAAAAGAACATCATGTAGACAATCAAGAGGGATAAGGGGGTACTTTTTAATTGGGTCGGAATCATAGTGATGGCTATACGTTTATATACAATGCACAAAGTACATACACATTCTTACGCGTTTTAAATAAGATCACTAATTTTGTAAATAGCATGTTGGGTCCATGAACCTGTCCACTTTTAGGGAGAGCCAAATCAAACATAATCACAATACCAGAAATAGAAACATCACTAAACCAGTAGTTTACAATTTACAAATATTCTAGTAATCACTATACACTATAATTTAATTAAGTCTATTTGCATTTTTATGTATTTCTGAAAGGTTTGGTTGTTTTTATGTAAAAAAAGAAGCAATTTAGTTTTGCATCTAAGATTTAACCCTTGACAATATGACCTGTCATTTGATGTACTGACATGTAATTCAATAAATAGATTTTGGTAAAGTGCCACTACAGCTAGCTTTGTCCATTCCAATATTCTTATGTCTTTCAATTAAGCATGATTGCAAAATCAAACTAAATGTGAAATCAAATTTTTATCTTAATTACTCTACACTTTGATCTAAACTGACAGATTGGAAATATTTCTCTCGGATATTTTTTGTGGTTATAAAATTATGTAATAATCACCAACAAGGAAATAGATTTTTTCTTGTAATAAAATTCAATTTGATCAGATAAAAATATGGGACTTCGGTCTAAACTGGTTATCTGTCTTCTAATGTTTCTCTGGTAGTCATTTGTTGTTTTTCTTGTTCTATTTGTCATTTTATGGAATAGTTGCATGTTTAATTTTTGCCTGGTGAGATCAACAGACTTTTTTTATTAATTGACTTTATTAATTTTTTTCCATTGGACTCAATTTCATATTTTTTCACATTTAGATTTATTGTCTATGTATAATAACAATGTATATGTGCTACAATGCAGCAAAAATAAGAAAAACCCATTTTATATTAATCTCATCAATGGTTTATGTCAGTAATAAAACAGTTTCATTTTTAACCCATGGTCTAGGCTCATATGTTTCAACTTTTTGCTTTGGTGTGATGGTTTTGCTTTGTGGTAGAAGAAAAAATTGGTAATATCAAGTTACATAATTAGAAATGTTTGCTGTGGAGTTAGAATGGCTGTTTATTAGATGTGTCACACCATCTGACATGTATTGTTGTCCTTTTTTTATATCAACTAATAAATCTATCAAGAATCATAATTTAGAAAAATTTCCAATCATATATACACCATATTAATACCTCAACAGATTTATGAACTTTAAGTACACAAGCTTAAAAATATGAACACAGGATTAATAGAAGTATATGCATTACAACATAACTATATAAGTAGAACTGAAAATGTGCATGCAAAAGCATTTAAGCTTAGCCCACCACCTTTGTCCTGTTGCGAAGCTTTTTCGGGGGACTTTCCTTTAACATCACCAAGGTCCTCATTCTGCTTGCCTGCCAACATAACATAACTGTATAACACAGACAACACAGACTAGTCAAATCCCAACAACAGACTGTACTTTAGACACTAATCAAACCCTTTCAAGAGACTGTACATAAAACTACTCTAGTCAAATGACTTCATGGTACTGTAAATCAAATACTAGTCAAATCCCTTATAGCCTAATCAAATACAGTAGACTCCCTCTTATCCGGATACCTTTTAACCGGGCTACACTCGGCGGAAATGACATCTCGTTAACCGGAAAAGTTTTATCAGCACATTGGTTTAACCGGAAAAAAATAGATCGGCAGGAAGTGGGCGGTACTGAAACGACTGTTCTCGTGGGAAAGATTTGAGACCAGTGATCACATGTCTAAATACAATGCTTTCCTAATTTTAAGTCAAATATCACAGTAAATGGTCCGTTTTAACGAGTTTTTAGGGATGTCAGTTTAACCGGAAAAACAGTTATCCGGACTGGCCTCGGTCCCGAGGAGTCCACTGGTCCAGTAGGTCCGGGGAGTCTACTGTACTAGTCTAATCGCTTCAAGTTACTGTACACCAAATACTAGTTAAACCCCATCAATCATGCACCATGTACAAATGTTAAAGTAAAATTCTCCATTTCTAATACCGAAAATGGGGGATACTCTCTGGGCATATTTAAAATAAATTTGGTGGCCTCTATTAATCTTGTATTTGATGTTTACATTGTCCTCGACCAGTACATAAAACATATAGAGCAAAGCAAAGGGTGAGCCGGTTAAGTACAAGAATGAACCGAGATAAAAAATATCAACGGCAACACTGGGAGATGAACCTATTACATAGCTGTCTTTGCTTCGTAGTTCGTTGCGCTACCGACTAGGCCACCTACTTACCTCAGTAATTTTAGGCTTACGTGAGGTCAAATATATTTGGACACATTATTAAAGGATAGGTTGTTCACGAGGTCAGTGTTAAGTGGTAGTCTCAAACCAGTCAAAATAACTGACAGTTAATTTAAGGTGGGCGATTTTGTTGGACTGGAATGTTTGAGTTAAATTTAAAACTTTTGGCTCTTGTCTCACTTGGGGATTAATGGTGATTGGTACAGATCATTCAGTAGGCATGCCAGTTCTGAGCTGCCTGTAATATTACATTAAAATTTTTGTTACAATTGTGTAGACCTACTTGAATTTCTTCTATCAATTTATGATTTATTTTGACCTTGGAAAATTTCCAGTGACCAATTTGAACTAGGCCTACTTTGCTGATAAAAGTCAAATAAAATAGTCAAAATAAAGCTCAAACACCCATGGGTCAGTAGTCCTTTTTGTTTAACACGTTCGCTGCTGACCGCTAGATGCCGGGACGGCGCCAGGAGCTGAACTAACGCTCGCCGCTGCGTAAAAATTGCTGCCGATACACTGAATTACAGTAAAAACAACAGTAGCTATACTGGATGGCAATGTTCTGCAATAAAACCGGCTTTGGACATAGTACTAAGTGATTCTGATAGATAGCAGCACTACCCAGGTTGCAGTCGGTAAAGTAGTGTCGCTATCTAGCAGGAAAGAGATGGGACAAAGCCCTGTTCTAAACGACCCTGGTGATGATTTTGGGAAACAATATTTTTTATTGTCAGAAAAATACGTCCCCACGAGCTGCAAAGAAATAATAGGACGCTCGTGATGAGCTGGCTGATCCATGAAAACATTAAACAACAATGAACGGCGACGTTCCGGAACGTTCCTAGCTCCTGGTGCCGGGGCCCGTTTGACGTTCCGGAACGTCCGTAGCAGCGAACGTGTTAAAATAGGTAGGCCTAACACATGCAAGCTATTTCTTTCAACTTATAAAAAGCTAAAGTTAAAATTAAAACCAGCTAAGAAAGATCAAGGACAATCCAACTAATAGGATCTGTTTCAACTGAACTAAGCCATCTTTCTTATTTGGGCTTGAATGTAAAAAAAAAAGAATTCAGTGTATATCCCAAATATAGGTTATACTTGCAGTTCAATTACATTGAGTTACAAATGGCTTTAATACACCCTCAGTATAATTTAGTAAATGATCAAATTAGTTTTGAATACTCTCACAATGTTATCTGTAGCAGAAGATTGTATAGACCTACCCATTTTACGGATGGAATAAGACTAACGATCAAACCATGTGGATTACTTACCAATGGAAGTTTTGTCTGGAAACTCCATGACATCTGCTTGCTGTTCCTGGCTCGCCTCCTTGACCACAGGAGTAGTGACCTCAGCCAGGAAGGGACATCTCGTAGCCAAACCCTCCAATTGTGCGGCTTGATCACTAGAACTGATGCTGGCTGCTAGACGCGACACCACGGGGCAGTGGCTGCCCAGGTTCTTCAGTAGGTTCAGCCCGTAGTTGCGGACATAAGCCGATGGTAAACGGCTCAGGAACGGGCAGGGCATCTTCATTTAGTTATTACCTTGATAATGAACTAAATATGCGTCTGAAAAATAGCAACATTTTTTTACTAAAGCATAGCATGTGATTACCATAGAGGTAGCACTATTAATAGTTGGTAACAACCTTTTTTGGATAAAAACATTTTAGTTATGTACTAAAAAAAATTATGATTTTACAATCATCTTAACTATTTAAAGTGCAAAGGTTGTACTATAAGAGACCAGAGCCATATTCTTAACTTTCCCCTCTTTTATTACCAATCTGGTCCCCAACCCTATGCGACTAGTCTCGTCGTGATGTAAGGAAAAATCCTACCAAGGATGGATTGTTCTGTGATTTGGTTACTTTTAAAATCGAGAAAGCATTAGATTCAGTTAACAGTTGACGGTCCTATGATGTGACAAGTGTAGCCTATAGGCCTAGATGTAACAAATGTGTCCAGCAATATCTTATTCAGTCACACTGTAATCCACAAGCTAAATTTCCATAACTTTGATTACTGCCTCACAGCCAACACCCTGCACATTTTTAAACATCGAGCAAATGTTTACCTCAACTAAACCCTATTCAATCCACCAACCTACTTCTTGTTTGATGATTTAAATTAAATTAAAAAGGCAAACATGAAAACAACCTAAACTTTAAAAATATAACGAAGAATTTTATGAACATTTTTGACTGAATACACTTTCTTGGCTATAACTACGCCCAAAATTAAACTCTTCTGTTTTTTCCCGTAGCATAATTAGCCTAGAAGAAGTTTAACATTCTCCTCAAAACGTTGGAAAGTCTATGTCCTTTCACTTTCATTAGTGCTCAAGTGTAAATAGGCCTATTTTTTCTGAAGTAATCATTTTGCTAAAACTTATTCATAATGTGACTTCTTAATTTGTTGATATCATATTCGGTAGCGGTTAATAGCCCTTGGTAGGGTGGGCTGCAGCCCCCCCCCCCAGTTTTAGGTAACTTAGGCCTAGTAAAGTCTTGAAAGATGTTAAGAATTGTGATTTATTTAATCTAAAAAACATGTAGGCCTACATAGCTTCTACTCTGACAGTATTTTTTATATATTTTTTTTTTTTTTTTTATTAGGGCAAACTTAACTCCGATTGGGATGTTGAAGTGACCATACAAAAATGTTGACAGTTCAATTTCTTGTAATATTTATTTGTTAAAGCAGAAAATGATCAGCTCTAAGAGTGTCCAACGTCACAATTCGAGATACATTTAAATGAAAAATAATTTGGATAAAAATTACAATATTATGTAATGTTAGGTTCAAGGAATTTTTAAATAATGATGTGTTGGCATTTAAAAGCTACGGTATTCGCGGTACCACCAGTACTTGCAGAAGTGCAAGTACTTCTGGAACTGACGTCAAAATGCCGAACTGGTACTTTTGCAATTTACCTATGAATTAGCCTACCTGCGGTGACTAGGAAAATAAGTTATAAGAAGGAGATCCAATTATCACAATCCAACTGTGTACGGACACATATTTTATAATGCTCAATAATTTGTGCTCTGCTGTTCGCTGTTACGATGGCAAGCATTTATTTTCCAAAAGATTTGTTTACTATGCCTAGCCTATGACAGAACCTAACTAAGTTATCATAAATTACAATTTTCTGCAACAAAACTTGGGGAACTAAGTCAGAATGAGTTATTAACGTCCATTGAAGATGATTATCACCTTTACAATGTGGAGGAGAAGGCCTGAGTGTTTATTAAGCCCTCCGATTAACTTATCCAACTAAATGTAAAAGCAATGTAAAACCAACAAAATTAATGGTGTTGATATGTTGTTAATTTTTTGTAAGATTTTTAACTAACTATAGGCCTAGTATACAAAAGAAAATAAAAGAATTTAGTATGCTCAAATTCAAATAATCCCTTAAGAATTAGTTTAGGCATAAGTGTGTGAGAACTGAGAATGTTTAAAAAAAGAATAAAGTCAAGTCTGGAAAAATTTTACTTAGAATAACTTATCTATACCTGATAAATGTATTTATAGTTTATCAAGTATTCACATAGTAATATATTCATCGTTAACTTAAAATTATTACCTTAGCAAACCAGGACCAAAGGTTAGCAAATATTCCTGAACTATGACTATAAAGATGTCTTCATTCTAATTGAGAATTGAGAAAGAGGTTATTGAGGTTATAGAATCAAGGAATGATAGCAGACGACATAATATCTGAAAGGCTGGCAACGTTTGAAAGACAATTATTTATGTACAAGCACTAATATAAAAGTATATATATATTAAAGAATTTGTACTTTCTTAACTGAGTTTTAACTAACTTTGGATACTGCAAGTATAAAACAAATATTTTAGTAACATCTGGAGCTTTTCTAGTTTGTATTTCATGTCTGCTAACGCATGAGTGCGTTGATGTTGACCACAATTCCAGTTTAATATTATAGGTGCATGTTTTACCTTCAAAAAATGTCCCTGTCCGTAGACGGTACGGAAAGTCCTAGACCCGGGACCAATTTACTTTTCAATTGTTATGTCTCCAGAGGCCAAAACGCTATTCGTTAAATTATATAATATGTCTGTATGTGTGTGTATATATGAACGTACGATAACTCTAGTAATTTTGGTACAATTTTGAATTTTTGATGAAGTTTGGCATGAATGTGTAGAGCTGGATCTAGGATGATTGAGCTGGACAAACCCGAATTAGTTCGCGAACCAGCAAGATTGTGTCATGGGAACGGGGTATTGTGATTGCGGAGGTTTGAAGTTCCAAAATGTTATCCTAAACATGGAAATGCCCAAATTACATTGCGGCTATCGTGTAGAGCTTAAAAACAATTTGTACATTAATGCATTGTTGTGCAAATTTAAATTGTCCATGATATTCTTAAGGAAGACAAACTGTCGTAGTTTGCTTGTTTATGGATAAATTTTGATAACATTATTGGGAAATTTTTTTATTTTATCCTATACTCAATAAATTTCTCGATCAATTGAAATTCGTTTAGTCTGCAGGTCTGCGCTGTGGCGTGGGTATTTTGTTTAGTCCTCCTTTTTATTTGCTTTACCTCAGGACATGGAATAGCCATGACCATAGTTTAATCTATGCAATGACTAAATCCTTCCAATCGGTCGTTATAGTTTTAAAAGTGAGTAAAATATTCGTATGAATAAAGAGAAACTATTAAAGTATTTTTTTTTTTTGCTATTTATATATCTCGAGCATACATTTATCACGGGACGCGATCTTTGACAGTTAATTGTTGAATATTTACTTCCCTTTCACTGTTGATTTGCAACCATATATCTAACTTTGAGGAGCGAACTGGTCAAAGGCAGAGAGAGCAGGGCTTAGGTCTCCCGGGGCTTAGGCCCCGGGTTCAAATCCCACCAATCATCTAACACTATTTTATAATGTCGAACCTTCTAGGTGTAACCTAAAGTGATTTGTAAAAAGTACTGGGTTGGAGTATAGCGTCCTAGGATGTGATTGTGAAGGGAGGAAATTATAAACAATCTGTTTAACGGCAAACTATTGTATACTGCAAGTCAATGACTTTCTTATCTGGTCCCATAGTAAAACATAAGTCAAATTTTGATGTCCTGTAAGCCTAGATTGCTTATAATGATAAAAATGTTTCTCCCTTTTTGAGGATAGCTTTAAATAGTACAAATTACTCTTTGGCTATGGCACCAGAGGAAAACAGTGACATGCATACAGTATACAACCTACGACCTAATTTATGACCTAATTTTCAAGTTTTAGAATTTAAAATAATAAAAAACCTAACGCCAACATAAAAGTTTCTAGACGTAAACGTATCTGTTCGGATGTAATTTTTATTAGCTGACCCATAAGAATGAAAAATATAAGGGGTAATTTAATCCCCTCGTCTTTGGTTAAATCTATCAGGACCCCCCCCCCTCCTCCTGAAATGAAACGTTAAAACTATCAGCCCCTCCTTAACAAACCCTTCATTGCATAAGCATAACGTTATTGTATAGATTAAACACTAGTCTATTGTTATGGACTCTGTTCTTAAAGATATATTGAAGAAAAACCCCTGTAAGAATTTGAATTCGCATTATAATGTACAATAATTAACGAACGGTGTTCAGTATAATCAATTTTTGAACCTGAAGCCGCATTCACACGAAGCCAGTTCCAGTTGGCGGGTATGTTACCTGCCTAAAGTAACTTGAAATACACTATAGATACACTATATGGATACTGCAAGTAGACGTCCCATGGACGTGAAACCATCTATGGGAACCCAAATAGGCGGGACGCTAAAAAAAACGGGTTGTTTGGGGGGGTGGGCACGGGGGGCCTGTGTCCCCCAACTTTTGGTAATGTCTTTAATAAAAATACAATTTTAGCTTATTTTTAGACTTCATATAGTGCTGATATGTTGTGCATGCCCCCCCCAATTTTGGTCACGGGACGCCTCCTTGCTAGCAATAAGATTTTTGGTTAATGGCACTTATCATCCAGAAACTGGTGATTTATTGGATGTTAGTAAAGCTGCGGCATGTCAAAAAGTTCACAAAGTGGTGGTAGCTACGATATTTTTGTTTGCTAATGAAACCAAGAATACCTCAAATTTCCAACTCAAAACTATGCCACAAGTATAGAAGAAAAGTTTTTCCTAAATATAGAAGGTTTGTAATACTGTACTAATGTAGCTGATTTAAAAAATCGCAACAACACACAAATACAAATTAAACAAAAAAACCATATCTGTTTACATATAACCATTGTACTATACACCTCTATACTGGTGGAGGTGTATAATCAATGATAACTTGCCTGCTCTACTGGCTTCGTGTAAACGCGGCTTAATCAATGTAAATGTTGTAAAATAACTGTATGTAATTGTAATTACCACGAATCTCAACGACACTACTATTAAAGCCGTCCTCTTATTAAGATTTGTCCCTGAAATAATTAAAATTTTTAATTGGTAGCTATAGAACATTCGTAAGGACGTGCTGTGGCATTTTGATTCAACGCAACGTTTAAAAATTGCAAAAGTAAAATGTAATAAAATTATTACCTTTCAACAATTCGTAACCTTGACAGTGAATGTGTGAGATAATATTTAAAAATATCGGTTGTATCACAATTATTGGCAAGTACTAAATTATAACATTTACTGGCCAACATACCTAATCTTATCACGTTCATGCAATTTAAATTAAGATCGTCTTGAAAAATACATAACTCATCTCCTCACGTTTGGATCAATGCCAAAAATAAAATTATTTGATAACAATATGGTCAACTTTATTTTTAAACCACAGCACATATGAAACAAGGATTATTTTGCATAGTGTACGAGTACGATTCAAAACTTAGAACGGTTTGCCATTAGAAAATCTTATACTAGTATTTTTATTATTGAACAATAGATTAGTACACATTTATCATTGTGAAGAGTTATTAACATTACAATAGAATAGAATGAACGTTGTGTCATATAACAATGCAACGTCACTAACTGTACAGTACCTGTATTTTGCTCTTTCACTAGAAAATTGAAATTAGGTACAACCAGAAAATACGGAAAGTAAATGAAAGATACGTCTTATAACATTTAAAACATATATTTACGCTTATACTGTTACTCACAAGACGGTAAATATACAAAAAAGATGGTAAGGGGTGATCGATTTCGATTGGACACTCCAATCATCATCAGACCTAATAGGCGAATATTCGCCTTATAATGATGTATAATAATGTTATAGAATGATTTTTAAAGAATAAACATGTGGACTTTTTGGGTAGGTTTAACATTTTCTGGTTGTACCTAATTTCAATTTTCTAGTGAAAATGCAAAATACAGGTACTGTACAGTTAGTGACGTTGAATTGTTATATGACACAAACGTTCATTTTATTCTATTGTAATATTAATAACTCTTCACAATGATAAATGTGTACTAATCTATTGCTCAATAATGCAAAAGATAGCAAATACTAGGGAAAATTCAATAATAGATTAGTTTAACATCACTATTTGAAAGTGGACTGAAATTGTCGTAAATTTGTATTTAGATGTTTTTGGGTCATTTATTTATTGACATCGTAGATTCATCGATGTTAACAATAATTGTCAATGTCTCGTCATCGAACTTCAAACCTGGTGTTACACCTGACCCATGTCATCGGTGTAAGACCATCCATGACACCAAACTAGCCTAGATGAACCCAAGGAAACACGGCGGAGTCTACTTCATAGTGAGATACTTATTCATTATGTTCTATATTGACCCTAAATACGTAATGTTTACCGCTTAAATACCTTACCGGTGGTGGTGCCAGTAATGTTCTTTTAATGGTTAATATGAATGATGTAACAGAACACAACGATCAGTAGCATTAGCAAATAAATTGGACCTTTTCCGTTGATTCACTACCACTAGTGTGATGTGGTTAGGTAAGGTGTTTTATTAGGTTAGAATTCTAACTCTATACTAAACTTTACCCTAACTAACCTAACCAAAGTTTAATTCATTACAACTTCTATTGGTAATAATCTATTGCTCTGAATATTAGTGGTTCAGTGAATTAACGGAAAAGGTCCAATTTAATTGCTTTATTTGTAACCTAACACTGTCAAGCGACTAGCGTCCGGCCGTCCGTGAGAACAAACAGCAATAATCATGATTTGCTTTACCGGCAAAATACTACTACTATGTAGCTCTGTCGGTTAACCGCTTGAAGCCGATTATTTACCCTTGTGCTTATGCAATTATTTTGGTTATTAGTGCAATTTTATAGATGCAACTTTTATGACGCATTAGCCTCCCTTGTTTTAATCCACTGCATCAACTATGTTATCGCATGTTCTGTGGTTTGGAAATTTTCTTGAAGGGTGCATAATTAAATCTTTGGGTTCTTTCTATGTTTGAAATTACTCAGTATTCATATATTATATTTAAATGTAGCACGATTTTAAATCAATATGTATTATATGTAACTTTGTATTAGATCCTGTCTTGCAACGTTTCTTAGATGACTAACTTATCAACATGTTGTTTTGTTTTCTGTCTGTTATCAATAATTGTTAGTTTCATTAATTTTCTGCCTAAATTCAAATAAATGTGACTCATAATTTTGTTTTTATTCGAAGTGCTTTTGACAATTAAGATAAGTTTAAACCCCTCTTTTTTCGTTTAAAAACTGCAAAATTTTCCAGGGGAGGAC